GGAGTTTTATCAGCTTTACAAAGTGAGACAGCCTGGCACAGTTAGTCCTCAGCTGCCACCACACCGCCTTTTGTTTGCCAGATCCTTCAGAGAGAGCAATGGGCCTGCTTCTAGCTGCCAGAGCAGTCACCACATCAGCTGTCTCTTTTGTTTTTACTTTGCTGCAGACAAATTTAGTGAGACAAATGCAGCCACAGACAGAGGCCTTTAGTCTCCAAACACAAAGTGCTTTTAAAAGAACATGTGGGAAGACATGGGTGGTGTTTTAGAAACTTTATGAATCACATCAAAAATGGATTGGAAGACATTCACCGCTATCATTTATGTTGTTGCAGAAACAAACAGCTGATTATTTGGTCGGTTTGTTGTTTAGTAAAATAAAAAGAACTGAAGAGGAAAGACAAATTTCAGCATCTATATAAAGGTCCAGGTCACTGCTGGGGTTGAAACACGCCACCAATCTCTGCAGGGATTTAGCCGTCAGGGAACACAACACCAGGCTAAATGACTGGGGATTTGCTGTGTCAGATTTAGACCACATCTCTGTGGTGGCCCCGAGTGCAGAAAGAGTGACAATGAGCAAAGGAGCCTTTTAATGATAGTCATAAATTCATTCTCAGGTGAAAAAGCAACCACAAGACCATAGACAGGTGCAGAGTAGACAGGTGTCCCTCCGTCTCTCAATTTATTGATCCATCGTTAAAAATGCATCGTTGATGCATGCGATAACGTTTTGCAGCGGGCTGCCTGGGCTGTAATTTCCCAGATTTTAGCCTCTGCATGTCAATTACACACGTTTACCAATCACCAGTGAAATTATGGAGAGCAGAAAAGGACAAGAGAGGAAAAGTACGATTAATCACAACTGATAATATCTTCACAATATTTATCATTATACTGGAGCTGCACGCTTTTACAAGTGTGCAGCTCTCTAATTTATGCTCTTTTATAGGTCTGCTTTTGTAATCACAGTAATCAAGTAAACTTTATGTGAAGATCAAGAAGTTACAAATAAACAAATCCATTAAAGAGGGAATTTCAAAGAACATACTCCAGAACTGATCAAAGATGGAGCTGCATGGTGGCGCAGTTAGGAGTATTGTTGCCTTGCAGCATTAAAGTTGTCGGTTCAATTCCTGCCTGCATGTATGAGTTTTCTCTGTACTTTTTCTCCCACAGACCAAAAACATGCATTTCAGGTTGTTGGAGACTCTAAATGATTGATGGATGGATGGTCACGTGCAAAAAAGTCCATATTTACATATATTCACATGTGTACACATATTTGCTAATAAAGAGGCAAAGTTAAACAAAACAAGAGTTCTGAATAGTTGAGCAGAAGAGATAAGTGAGTTAGGATGTGACGATAAGAAAGATAGATTTTTATAGATCTCATGAGTTCTCATCTTTGATTGACTTAAACCAAATCATAAGTTTCCCCTCAGTTTTTTATTGACTTGCTGAAGTCACATGTTGTCATTTGAGATTCATTTTGTTTTATCAAGAACGTCAAATCACAGAAAACTAGGAATAAAATTACAGAGCGGCTCAGAAAGCGATGATTTGTGTTTACAAGTTTAAAAGGTAAGTCCTTCACAACCACACAGCATAATAGGATGTTCATATCCCATAGGACACCCATAGGTGCATTCTACAAATAAGAGCAACCACACCTCACAGCATGAACACAAAGGTCATTTACCCCTTTTCTCTGGAAACTCAGAGGAATAATACATTGATTAAATAAAGGTACTGAAGATAATCTGGAGCAGATTAAATTAAGTTGTGAAAAACAGATCAGACATTTTAAACACAAGAGGCAGGAACTATCCTTAAATGCTCAGCCAGGCTGCATTCCAGGGGCAGACTGGCAGCTGGTTCCACAGAAGCGGAGCAGAAAACTAAAAGCCCCACTTCCTATTTTAGATCTGGGCCCTGTGGAAGTCGGCGTCGGGTTCTGGTGGAGTTACAGGAAGCAATGAGACACAGCTAGGCCTTTAGGGCCTTGGCAAGGATTTCAACTCGTCTTACAGGTAGCCAGAGAGGCCAAAGTGGAAGGGCAAAAGGACAACAAATGTCAAAGCCAGCTGGATTTTTGAAATAACCCAAATAACATTAACATGGATCGTTCAATGGAAGAAAAGAAAATGGGGAAGTGTTCCTTCCAGCTTGACATGAAGTGCAACAATGTTCTTCCAGAAGACGATACTGGATCTTGGATGACCAAGTCCAATTGGCTGCTGTGGCATTAATGATTAACTATCCGGCAGTGATGATGGGGTCTGCCTGGCCTGACCTTTCCACGAGGCTGCAAATACAACCCAGTGTGAGTTTGAAGCTTTAGCATCATGATAGCCAAACTGTGACTAGACAGCTGCACTTTTATCCTCTGGTCTTAGCAGCTGAAGTGGAGGCCCTGGTCCAGGGTGTGCAGGGTGGAGGAGGGGTCCCTTGATATCATAGGAAAGGAAGAAGAGGGCGAGGGCAGTCCGGGGCATCATTTCAGCTGGCACAGAACACATTCGTCCCTTGAGGTATTAATTAGACCACATGTGAGAAATTAAGTGAACTGAACTAAAGTGATTGTGTCTTCAGCCTGGGTTAAGGACTAATTCCCACGTGTCTATTAGAGAGAGAATAATCAGATACAATCTTCTTCCACCCCTGTCATCCGAGCCAGCACAACATCTCCTTTCTGTCACAAAAACTGTCATCTGACTTCAATTTTACCCACAGTGCTGTTCAAACAGGCACGACTTCCTGTTTGTCCAACAGCTTGTACATAACTTGTTTGGAATGCAGCCACACCGCTGAGCTGAGCTTCTTTAAACAAGCAAAAACTTCTACAAAAGCTGGTTTTAAACTACAAACAAATATGTTTACTTCAGTCAGACATTTGGAATAATTCATTAAAGATAAATAAATAAATAAATAAACTTTCTAGAGCATTTCCCACAACCCTGGAAGGGTTTACAGAAAAGAAAAAAGACAATACAGGTACAAGAGGTTAAATGTCAGAATAAAATAACAGTAAAAATTAAAATTGCAAGAGAAAAAAAACAGGATCACAGGTAGAAATAAAATCCACTCTAGAATTACAGGTTAAACGTTTATCAGAAAAGATGCACACCAGGGGCGTGTCCAGGGAGTGGCCTGGGGTAGCAAATGCCACCCTTGGAATCTGATTGGCCACCCAGGTGCCACCACACAGAATTCCCTTTAGATAGGCTTTCATTGTCCACAAAAGGCCTTGGGGTAAAAAAAAAAAGAAGCATAACCATTGGTGTCCACCCATGCACAAAGTGGTGCCTCACCTGGGCCACCCCATTTAAAAAGATCTGGACACGCCACTGATGCAC